CACTCTCCTCCACCACCAAAAAGGAGGGTTCATGAAAGAGGAGGGACGTTTGATACAACACACACACTCAGTGGTGGGTGTTCTCTCAGCTTCACCCTTCGACTCCATCCCGGGATGTGACCCTTACATTAAGGTTTCGGAGGGAACGCACACCCCTTCTGTGTTTTTTTTACTCTTCTCTCCCCCATCTCCCCCCGGGAAAGTTTCATGTCCCGAAGAATAGTTTCGTTCCGACCCCACACTGATTGGAATGTTTCTCTATCTTTTTTGGGTCCCCCAAAATTAACCCAATTTGCGCAATCGAATTCAATTGCAAATCTTGCGTGAATTTTGGGACACCCTATATTTTTATTATTGGGTTGTTATTGTCATCAAATTATAAGGGTTCTTTATATTTTCTACATAAAAGTTCCTTATGAGAGACATGCTTAGCAATTATTTTCTCCCATTCTATGGTTGTCATTGCATTTTCTTTTTAAAAAATATATTTTTTTATTGATTTCAGAGAAGGGAGAGGGAGAGAGAGCTAGGAACATCAATGATGAGAGAGAATCATTGATTGGCTGCTTCCCACATAACCCTGACTGGGGATTGGGCCCACAACCCAGGCATATGCCCTTGACCAGAATCGAACCCTGGACCCTTCAGTCCGCAGGCCAACACTCTATCCACCGAGCCAAACTGGCTAGGGCTCATTGCATTTTCTTGACCATTTAAGCACAAAAATTTAAAATTTTGGTGGTGTTCAAAGTATCTATTTTTTTTTTCCTTTTTTGATCGTGCCTTTGGCTTTTTATCAAAGAACTATTGCCTAATCCGAGTCAGGCCAGGCTGTAGGCATTTTGGAGTGAGGACCAGGGCAGTGGGCACATGGCACAGGGGGCCAGCAGGCTGTTTGTGTGCTCAGGAGCTCCAAGTCCAGTGCAGGTCCCTCTTGAGCTCAAGAAGCAGGGCCCTTCCCAGCCTGGCTCCTCACTCAGTCCTCTCCTCAGCCTCTGCTCTCCCCCTCCCTGTCTCCCTGCCTAGGGGGCTCCGTGAGGACCGAGGACCCAGGGGAGCAGAACTCCCCATAATCAGTCCTTGTGGGAGGGGCATGGGTTCAGGTGTTCCCCTCCTTGACGCTGGCCTGAATCCAGAGTTCAGGGCAGACTCTCTCATCCTTGTTTGCTCCCACTCCTCCATGTCCTGTTTCCAACCAGACTTCCCCTCCTGAGCAGAGTTGCGAGCAAATAAATGTTAGGATGAACCAGGAACTTGTGGGGTGGCTTGTTACAGAGCAGTAACTAATTGCAGCAGGTCGCTGCTGCTGCTTTCTGCCCAGACAGTGTGCGTGTATGCGTGTGCACCTACGTGCGTGCGTTAGGGACAGTGTCTTCAGCCGGAGGCCTCTAGACTATTTGAGATCTTAGGGTCCAGGCTCCAGATGAGCCGCTCAGCTTTGACATCTATTTCTGCTGAACTCTTCATTGGAACCCTGCTTCTCCCGCTACCATAGTCCAGTTCAGGGCCTTTTTAGAACAGGCCCTACCTGTATTTGATGTAATTGGTGTGCAATTTGCATACATGAGTCATGTTAGGTGGTCTCTAAATGTTTACCTGATGCCTCTGTGGGGGAGGTATTAGCATCTTGGACTCTTGGAGGGGACAGGGGCACTGGAGTTACCTGGTCTGTTCTCCCACCCTTGCAGGGTCTGCTTGATCGAATGACAAACCCACCACCTTCCCAGGCAGCTCTTGGATGGCTGGAGTGTTGAGGAGGTCCTGTGCTTGCCAAGTTTTGTATAGAAAAAGGTGAGGTAGTCTGTGTACATTTAGTTTGGGTTTAGTTCTTTGCTCTGGGAAAGTCAGAGCAAGTCAATAATCCCCCCCCCCCACTCCCCACCCCCTAATACAGGACAGGTACTACGGTGGCCTTAGGCATCCACAGCACCGTCATTGTCTCTGGCCTGACCTCTGCCCCAACCACCCCAGCAGGCTGCTTCTGGAAATGCCGGACCAGCAGCTTTCAAGCGTTCTTTCAGGAGCAGGGCCCTGTTTGTAAATGAAATCTCACCTAGAGCCCAACATGTAAGGCAGATGGAAGTGGACCTGCTCTGGATGAGGGTGAGCAGGAAAAGTAGAGGCCCCCGGAGAAGTTCCCCCACACCCCTGGCCACAGCCAGGCCGCCCAGCTTGCAAACCACTGTCCTGGTGTGTTCCTCTCAAAAGCTCCTCGGGGTCCTATGGGACCCGCCTGCAGACCTGCAGAGCCTCCCAGCAGCGAGCCCTGGCTTTCCATTTCGGCAGCAGAGGGGACGTGAACAGGCTAAGCTGTTGCATTACAACACTGCCTCTCAGGAAGCTCGAGGCCTGCTGAGCCCTCCGGGTATCCTGGCCTGGCCTAAGCCTCCGCAGCCTCAGACACCTGCTTCCGGAGCCTGGACTGAGGAGAGGACAGAGAGGAATGGAGAGGCCTGGCCAGGGGCTCTGACTGGGCCCTGGAAAGAGTCCCTCGGTCAGAGCCCCAGATTCCTTAACTCTGGGGAAGGAAAATAGTCCTTCCTTGTAGATGATGCATGAAGGGCACACAGATAGCCCTGCATGGCACCCGCCTCAGTGCTGGTGGGCTGTCCCTATGGAGCCGAGGGAGGCATGGAGCAGCGGGTGGAATGCAGACCCTGCTGTAATCGGCGTATCCTTTCTGTAAAACTGGATGATAACTAGAATATCTACCTCCCAGTGAGGTGCCGAGGACCCAGGAAGCCTCGCACGCAGGCGTGGTGCCTGTGCGTGGTACAGGGCAGTCTGCTGTTACCATCCTGGGCTCTGACCCCGTGAGCGTCGGCCTGGCCCACACTCTCACCCACCCCTCCGAGACCTGACACAGCCATCAAAACACCGGAGGGTTCCTTTGGCAACAGGACTTTTATTCAGTCAGAATGAGCAGAGTGTGACAGAAGTCAGGCCCAGTCAGGCCAGGTGGCCCCCTCCTCTTCCTCCCCCAGACCCACCCTTCCCACAGGAGAGGGGGTTACTGGGTGAAGGGGGTGCGGAGAAGCCACTGCGGGGACCAAGGCCTGTCTGGGAGCTTGGAGAAGCCCTCAGCACGGGCCCAGCATTTGGGAGACGGGGCGGACCGCCCTTCTGAGTCCACGCGGATATGACTCCAGTTTCTAGGGAAACATCACCAAGTCTACCTGCTTCAGCTAATTAAAGTTCCGGGTGAGGGGCCCTAGGGGGTTGGGGGTCAGGGACTTTATAGTCTAATCTCACACTTAAGGAATACACTCATCTTTTCTTCCTTTAAAAAAAAAGTTTCTGCTATTTAAAAAAATGTTTCTGAGTGTCATAAAAAATAGGTATTTGTTTCCTTGGTTTTCTTTTTCCTTCTTTAACTAAGTATCTCAAAGGACAACACAACAGAAAAGAGAAACAAGCAGTCACAACATCAACACCCTTAAACGCACCTTGTATAAAAATAGCTTCCGGCCACACTTGCTGACAGCGGTCTCTCCACTGTCCAGGGGGTGGGTCAAGCTGGCTGTGTCCCATGGGACAGAGGTCTGGGGAGCCTCCGCTGGGGACCCTCCCCACGCACACACACACCCATCCGCACACAGTACATTCCAGGGGCCGGCCTGCTCCGGGCTCGGGGTCTGGGCCGGACGGGGGGCAGGCTTCAGAGTGAGGTCCCACCCTCCCGAGGCCCAGGAAGAGAGAGGACCGAGGGGACCCCAGTCCAGGGTGAGTTGGCTGAGAGGCTCAAACGGGAGTGGCTAGAGCAGACGAGACAAACCAGCACTGGCTTCATTTGGAGCAACAATTTACATTTCAAGGAACAAATTCTCCTCTCATTTTTGGCTTTTTCCCCATTATTTGACCAATTCCATCTTCATTTCTGTAGGCCCCGAGAGGCCTACCCTTGGTGGCTTAGCCTCTGGCCTCCTCTCTGGGGAGAGCCAGGGTTGTGGGCAGGAGGAGGAGCCAGCGAGAGGGTCCAGTGATAACAACACAGGCCCGAGAGCCAGTGGGCCTTGAGGTAGACGGTTTCTTTCACACCTGGTAATAGGGAAGTGCCTTTTTTTTTTTTGCTTTTTTTTTTTTTTAACTCTAAACTACAATGTGGGGAAGGGGAGGGGGTGCCCATAAAGGGGCTTGAGGTAGGAGTGCATTCGGGGCTCTGTGGGGAAGAGGGGCTGAGGCCACGGCCGCTCCCCCACGGACATTCATTCCGGCTGAGGTAGGTGCTGAGAACCAAAACAGCAAAAATCCATCCTGAGAAAACAAGGTGGGTGGAGGGTGGCAGTGCCAGGGGCCCGGCCACAGCAGGGCATATTTTTGGAGTCTGATTCACCATCCTCTCTCTCTCTCTCTCTCTTTTTTTTCGTTTTAAGTTTTTTTGTTTTTTTTTTTAAGGAAAACAGTTCATTCCAAGTCATATGGGTACCAGGCAGAGGTGAGGGGGCACTAGCCCAAGGGAGGGGCTCCTGCAGAGGCCCCTCCAGGTCCTTGGGGGGCTCCCTGCCGAGGCTCCTGTAGGCCTTGACAACCTGGGGGCAGTCAGAAATGCTGGGAAGCCCCCATCCGAATCCCACACGACTGGAGAAACCTTGCCTTTGACCTGAGAATGGGGGGGTGCCCCCCCTCCAGAGCTGTCCAGACGCTGGCTACTGTCCGGAGAGAGCTGGCCGGGCAGCTTGTCCTTCACTGAGGAGACCGGAGCCTGCGTCCTGAGGCGGGGGGGCAGCTGTGAGGCCTGCGCAGGGAGCCTTGGCCTCCGACGTCCTCTCCTCCCGAAGGCCGACCCCCTGAAGTGGCAGCATGGAGAGCGGGGTCTCCTCACACAGGGCAGGGGCCGCAGGATCCTGCTGGGAGTGGGCCAGTCACACCGGCGTCAACACGAGGCCAGAGGCCCACATGCCCTCCAGCCAGAGGCTTGGGCTCCCTCCCTCTCCCTCCCACTCAGGGCCCAGGGGCTCCAGGCCTCCCTGCTGACTCGGGCACAGAGAGACGCACGGGCCGTATTTTGTGTCAAGAGAAGACCTGGAGCTTGGTGAAGGCCGATGGCCAGCGTACAGGGAGGGCAGGATCGGAGGTGGGAGGGACACTCACCGTGGGGCTGGGGCTGGGGCTGGGGCTGCGGTCTGGCTGGCCCGCTGCCCCGGCCGGGGGGAACAGCTGCTCCAGTTCCTTCATGTCCGCACGTTTCTCGTCTCGGCCCAGTTGGTCCCGATCTACCAGCCTGGCCCCATTCAGTGCCAGGATACCAGGGTCCCTCTGGCTCCGGGGGCCCTGAGGAGGGGACAGCTGGTTTTCTACATCCTTACACAAGAGGACCCTATGGGATGAGCCAGAAGTTAGGGAGAAGGACCTGTGGGGGGGCAGGGAGGGGGGACAACGAAAGGATAGAGACAGCGAGCCCAACCGCTCCTCTCCCCCGCGGCTCCTCCTCCTCCCCCCACCTCATGTCAGTCCAGCCCCCTCTTCCTGCCCCAGTACCACCTGCCCCTTTGGCCGAACAGGAGGAAGAGGACACAGAAGATGATGCAGGTGACCCCGATGTGGATGCCGATGATGATGCCTGTGGTGGACATCTGGTTGGTGGCCTCCTCCTTCCGGCAGTCACACGGTGGGCTCAGGGCTGGTGGGAGGGGCGGGTTGGGGGCTGTGGCTCCTCTGGTCTGAAGCAGTCCCAGACACCCCATCTCTGGGGGCTCCTTATCCGTGAGCCACGCCCACCCCAAGTCCACAGAGCCTTTGTCTTTGCCTATGGGACTCCAGCCCAAACTTTTCAGCTCTTTTTATCCGTTACTGAGTACTCTGTGCCGGAGACTGAGAATAACACTGTAAACCTCGACACAACTCCATAGAGTGCCCCTGTCGTCCGGACAGGTATTATTATCCCCCTTTTATAGAGGAGGAAACTGGGGCTCAGAGAGGTTAAGTCACTTGCCCAAGGTCACACAGCCAAACTTTGAGCTCAAACCTAAGCCTATGTTCTCAAGGGCTGCATGCAACTCTTCTACCCTCTTTCTTTCCCCGGGTCCCTGCTCCCCTCTGCCCACAGCCCCTGGCTTCCATTCCTGCGTGCCAGTCCTTAGCCTCACATTCCAAACACAACCCTCACCTGTCCTCTCAGATGCTCCCCTCAAAGACACAAAGCGGACTGTGGCGTTGCCATCCCCATGCTGGTTGTAGGCGAGCAGCTTCACCTCGTACACTGCAGTGGGGTCTGGGGGAAAGGCAGGGAAGGCTGCTGAGAGACCAGCCAGCCACCAGTGGGGGGCTCGAGCCCAGCAGGGAACAGAGGTGACTCCTGCGCCCCACCGCCTGGCCCCAGGCACTGCACCCCGGCCGGACTCCCCAAGGCCAGGCTGTGTCCGCCTCACCGAGCTGGCTGAGGTTGTAGGAGGAGACAGTTCCAGGCAGCACGATGGGGCCGGTGAAGGCGGCCCTGCTTGCTGGGCGGTAAAACAGCTTGAAACCGCCCCGATGCAGGGCTAGCCGGGGCCAGGGCTCCCACAGCAGCTGCAGGGTGGAGCTGCCCAGGACTCGCACTGACAAGGGGGGTGGGGCGGGTGCTGCAGGCGGAGAAGGAGGCCAAGATGTGAGGACTTTTTCCATGTTCCACCTGTGACCCAGACCCCCAAGAGCCTGACAGTTCTCTGGCTTCTGACTCTAGCTTGTTCAAAGAGTACCTTTACATGAATTAGAAAAAGACACCCCTTCCTCCAGACAGAACCAGCCCCCACTCAGCCTCAGAGCTGAGCACCCTGTGCCATGCACAGCCTGAACAAGTGTGCGTGGGGGTTCTGCTCTAACACCTGGGTGTCTGCGATTTTTTGTGTTTTTATTTTTAATATATTTTATTGCTTTTTTACAGAGAGGAAGGGAGAGAGATAGAGAATTGGAAACATCAATGAGAGAGAAACATCAATCAGCTGCCTCCTGTACACCCCCAACTGGGGATGTGCCTGCAACCAAGGTACATGCCCTTGACGGGAATCGAACCTGGGACCCTTGAGTCCGAAGGCCGATGCTCTATCCACTGAGCCAAACCGGTTAGGGCAGTGTGTGCGGTTTTGTACACCATGACCAGGCCTCACCTTCGCCCAGGGTGCTGGCCAGGGTCGGGGGAGAGGCTGAGCTGGCCCCCCGGGGGGTGTAGGCCTTGATGTAGAAGCTGTAGGCAGTGGAGGGCTCGAGGTCGCTCACCAGGTGCTGAAAGGTGCCTTTGCTGACTGCTTCCTGATACTCCAGCTCTGGTGGGTCTGGGGAGGCGAAGGGCAGGGCAGGAGAGTGTAAGGGCATGAGGGTGCCCTCCCCGCACGGGGGAAGGGAGGGCAGCCGGGGTGCAGGGGGGAGAAAGAACGGAAGGTGTTGGGTAGGGACACGCAGATGGAAAGGGAGAGAAGCAGTGAGTCCGAGGACAGGGCTGCAGAGCCGGCCCGGCCCGCTCGGCCCACACACCAGCAGCCTTCCGGATGTGCAGGACGTAGCCGATGATCTCGTTGGTGTTGGCCAGGGGCTCGTTCCAGGACACCCGGACCTCGGTGGGTGATATGGAGACCGCCCGCACGTTGATGGGGGGCCCGGGCAGCCCCTCAGCCCAGAGCACGGTCAGCCTGGCACTGGCCTGTGAGGAGCCAGCACTGTTCTCGGCCACACACTGGTAGATGGCCTCGTCTTCAGGGCCGACTCCAGAAATGGTCAGGGTGCTGCGGGGGGAGGGAGAGCCTCAGGGCCCGTCCTCCTCCCAGAGCCCCCCTGCAGGCGGCCAGTCTCCCCCTTTGGGAGATGAAGAGACTGAGCCCCTCCAGACAACAAGCGGCTGAGGTCTCCCAGCAGGTGAGACCGGAGACTCAAACCCAGTCTCCAACTCCCAACCTCGCCCTCCCCCAGGGGGAGGCGCACAGCCCGCCCAGGCCACTGACCGAAGGCCGCGCCCCAGCACACACCACACACGTGCCTGTTGTTGTTCTTGAGCCTGACGTGGCCTCCGGGCCCCAGCACCTGGCCATTCTTCAACCACGTGACGTGAGGGGGCGGCTCACCCTGGGCTTGGCAGGTGAACATGGCTGTGGTCCCGGCTGGTCTGGAAATGGACTGGGGGTGCTGGACAAACTCTGCTGGGGCTGGAAGGGGCGCGCAGAGAGCATAAGAGCAGTGAGGGGCAGGTGGCGAGGGACGAGACAGCTGTGAGGGAAGGGACGGGGACAGGGGAGAGGGACGGGGCTGGCAAGCCTCCAGGTGGGGCCCGGGCTTCAGGAGGTGGTGGCAGGTCCCACCTCCATCCACCAGGGGCAGACCCCAGAGAGGGCTCCATTTTAATGACTATTTAAAAGACTGACATTTGTATCCGAAAGCAATCAAGCTGAGCTCCCTGTTCAGGAAATTGTTAAATAAATAAATGTGCTAATAGGTTTGGCTGCACCTCGAAGGCGGTAATGACGGGGAGATGGATGAGCCCTCAGTGCCAGCCCCCCTCGCCCCTACATTCAATTCCACCCTCCTCCAATCCCAGGCCTCAGGCCTCCATTAACACCCGAGAAATGAAATGCTCCATCACTTTCATTTGGACAGATTAACGGCACATGCAACGCTAAACAAACGGGGATTTAAGTCCCTAAGACCCCGCGCTGCCACCCCTTCCCCGGCTCTCGAGGCGGGCACAACACAGACAACCCCTGAGAAGGAAATCCAAGCCCAGACCACGGGGACAGTTGACCACAGGGTAGGAGGATGGACAAAATGACCTGGTCGGCTGCAGAGGCCCTGAACACTGCGGCGTGGAAGCGGGCTCTGTGTGCGAGGTGGGAGCTGGGGTGTGAGTGTGAAAATGACAAACACGCTGAGAGTGCTCAGGCAGGTGTGAGTGGGGAAGTACCGCACGTGTGAATGAAAACAGCATGTGGTGTGAGGGACACGTGTGAGCGACACGGGGCGGGGGGGGGGGGGGAACAGCTGAGATTATAAAATAGAAATGACTGGGGGAGCTTGCTGGCACCTCGAAGGGGCACACAGGGGCCCATGACTAAGAATGTCCTCCCATTCCCAACACCCGAATTCCTGGGGGAGCTGCCCTGCTGGCCTGGCCTGGGGGCCTGGGGAGGGGCAGGGGGAGGGTTAGAGCAAGTACAGGGGAGTGGCAGACCCTGGGTGTCTAGGGTCCTGGGCTTGGGCCAGGGACGTTGATGAGGCAAGGAAAGGGCAGGAGGAGGGCAGGGGTGGGGAGGGAGGGAGGTACCTTGCACCACCAGCCGGCCCTGTGCTGTTCTTCTCACCCGGGTGCCGGGCCTGTTGGCCGCACAGACGTAGACGCCTGAGTGCTGCACGGTCACATCGGAGATGATGAGGTTCCCTGTGCCCAGAACCTGGATGCCCTCCACCCCGATGGGTCGGCCGTCTGGGGAGGAAGGGGACTGGAGGTGAGGGAGGGTCGGGGAGATGGGTGTGGACGAGGGGACATTCCGGACTGTGCAGATTCACCAGCCCTCCAGGGGCCCCAGTCTCTGACTCGGCACCTTCCCTCCTGAGCATCACATGCGGCACCGTGGAGGCGGAGGGAGCAACACAGAAAACTCCCGTCTAGCAGCAGAGACACGGGTCCTATTGTGCATTCTCACTCACTCAGTGGTGGCCTGCAAGTCCCTTCCTCTCAGCTTTTCAAGTAGGAAATCAAGGGTTTGAATGAACGGGACCTTTCCCTGCCTGGTTTCTCTCTCTCTCTCTCTCTCTCTCTCTCTCTCTCTCTCTCTCTCTCTCTCTCCATTTATCTATTTTTATTGATTTCAGAGAGGAAGGGAGAGGGAGAGATAAAAACATCAATGATGAGAGAGAATCATCAATCGGCTGCCTCCTGCACGCCCCACACTGGGGATGGAGCCCGCAATCTGGGCATGTGCCCTGACCAGCAATCGAACCATGACCTCCTGGTTCATGGGCCGATGCTCAACCACCGAACCACGCCGGCCGGGCCTGGTTTGTCTCTCTTGAAAAAAGTTCCCAGGTCAAATATCCATTCTGTTCCTGGACTGTCACAATGCCCACTCACACAAAGGCTCTGAGAAGTCCTGCAGCAGAAGGACCTGGTTAACTCTGTCTCCTAAACTTGTCAGACCACCAAGCTATTCTTTCCCTCTGCAGATCATGCCTTGGGAAATGTTGGACCAGATGGTCATTGCGGTGCCTACGGGCTCCTCCTAATGGTGAGGCCACTCTTTCTAGTCTCTCCCAGGGACCAAGCCCTCCCCCCACCCCAGGATCAGATTAGCACAGTCAGAATGCAAGGAGACAGCTCTCCATTCAGACCCTGAAGTGGTGAAATCTACTCCATTATCCCGCCTGCTGCCCCCTCCTTCCCCGATCACTCAGCTGCTACAATGTGGCGCAGTCTCCCGGTGAATGCCCACCCCACCCTGGCCCTCCAGCCTCTCCTTCCCCCGTGACCTTTCTGCTCAGACAATGTGGGCCCATCTGCACCCTTTCATTTCTCTCCTTCAGCTGCCTAGGGATTTAGGCTGGGGACTTAGGGGGCCAGGCTGGAGCCTGGGGGGGGGCCCAGAGTGAGGGTGTGACAACTGGCTGAGATTGTGAGGGGTGTGGGAGTGCATAGCTGGGGTGTAAGGCCAGGGTGCAGAGGGCAGAGGTGAGCAGGAGGGGAAAGAGACCAGGGCGCTGAGAGCTTGTGGAGGGCTCTGGAGGGCCCGGTGCTGAGGTGATGGGAGCAGGAGGAGGGACTGGCGTGGGATGGACGAGGTAACCCAGGGAGCTAAGCCATCCGTGATAACCCCCAGGGAAGCTTAAGGCAGGCGGACCTCTCTGGTACTGCCCAGAAGAGGGGAACTCACCCCCTCCCGGCCTCTGCAATGACGGGACCCCACGGTGGACAACAGGGATCTATAGTCTCCTCAGTATATATATATATTATATACCTCTACGGGGTGGGACTTGTATGTAATAGAGGGTT